TTGTAATTATGATCCGATTCTATTCAAAAATCAAAATTGGTATCTGGGGATTTCCGGGGTCGGAGATAATAATTATTTCGTCAAAATTGGGATATTCCAGATGGCGGATCCAATATGGTGGATGAGTTTTGTGATGAAGATCCGATTTTATTCAAAATTGATATCTGGGGGCTTTCCTGCACATTTTACGTATTAATTTTAATCAGCCTACTTTTCGTCCTAGACGAAGTCAACATAGTGTGATATTAGTAACTCCATGAATTCTTCTCCGAGTTGGATTTCTGAAAATACATTTAGCACACATGACATGAGTACAGTAGTCCAGATACCCACATCGAGGTTTCCACCATTTCTCAATCATAAGGCTCAGCTCATTCAGCTCATAGGTAAACTACTGCTCAGCTTGAAATCAGAATTTATTCAGTCAATTACCCTGGTATACAGTCTAAGAACAGTATCTTTTGGTGGAATATATTGAGCTATTTATATGTTCCCTGAATCGCAAAGATTATGCTGGAGTAGTAAACTCTAAAACTAGAGGATTGTTCAGCTAAGTATATCGATAGATAGATAGATAGATTACACTATGTGGGCGGACGGATCCTTCAGCATGTAGGCCTCCTATTCAAGCACGTTAAGCACCCAAGTCTGCTGGGAATTGGTTCAATCATGAAGGTAGCCAATTTCGCGGGCGAAAGAGACCAGCCTTCTCAACGAAACCCTTCTCACACTCTCTGGTTTCAAAACGATGTTCCCGAGATGTGCTTCCCGTATTGCTGCAACTGCTGGGCATTCCGTGAGGATGTGAGTAGCTGACTCCTCGTCCTCCAGGCACCACCTACATTCAGCATCATCAGTGATACCCATAATGTTGAGGTGCCTGTTAAGATGGCAGTGACCCGTGAGGAGCCCTACCACTATTCTTATTTCTTTTCTGCTCAATGTGAGCAACGTTTTGGTTCTTCTGATAGAAGGTATAACAACTCTTTTGATGTTTTGGAAAAGAAAAAGATTTTGATTTGTTATAGGCACGGCAGCTCGCTTGTTTGGGAGCAGGTCGTGAGTTAGTTCTTTTTATTGTTCACTAGTGGGGTTATCCTTTTGTCAGGCGCCACTCAGTTTTCACAGCTGAATTACTGAGAAAAAAATCCAAGATATAAATATAAGCCAAAATAACTGTTAACCAATTTATTCACCTTAACATGTCAACAATAGGTATTTGAAATGGTGGTAAATATGTACTTTGATTGTAACTCAGTACAAGGGTAGATTTCCCTT